ATACTTAAATGTTCAACATGTCTTCCTCTAAAGTATCTTTAATATGATTTGTTTTAAATAATTAATCATCTCTCATTATTAAGAGTCATGAAAAAATGCTAAATATAACTTTTGAAAGAATTTGATAATTGAAAAATGAAGAAAAAAAGGGAAAATGTGTATTAAAATAGAAAATTAATTAATTAATTAATTATTTTATCTTTTAGACAAATGGTGACGTGGAATGTATAAGAAATTATTATTTTAAACAAAATTCTCATGATGAAATGTAATCCCAAAATTGATATTGTTTGAGAGAAAATTTGAATTAAATTTGATCGTCATTTATATTAAATCTTAGATAATAATAGAATAACAATTCCAAGGAAATAATAGTATACTTATTATATTCCTTATTCGTTTTGTTTTTAAACACTAACACTCGATCAAGGTAAATGGTTTAAAAAAACATCGTCTTTTTACTTTTGACTACATCTTTGTCCGACTTAATTTATGAATATCTGATTTCGGCCCATTTCATTTCAGTCTATTAATGTCAGTGAGATAGTAGCAAACGTGTTGGGATATAATTCATCTGCGTCCACTTGCGTTCCCACCCCCTTTTGACTCTATTTTCTACCTTACTTGTTTTTCCAGATAATCCCTTAGAATTCTCAGGTATGATAGTTAATACTATTAGTTATATCATGATAATTTCTTCCAGCTTAGGTGAATTGAATTTCATTTGTTTAGTCGTTAAGTTCTTCATTCTTAAATTTTTTAGTATTTATTCAATGATGGACATTTGTATTTATTATATATATATAAGTTTTTATTAAGTAAAACGCAAAATGGCCCTTATCAAAATAAGGAATAATTATTTAGTGGAAACTTACTTATCGGAGAATCGAAATCTTGATAGCTTAGTTAATAAATTAACTACTGTCAAGTTTCAGCATTGAAGCATTTAAATCATTCAATATTAAAAAAAATATATATAAAAACATTAAATACGAAATGCAAGACGCAGACATAAACAATGTTTTTCAAAAATACATAAATTCTAGTTGAATGAAGGTTATTTGAAATGGATCCAGAAGACGAAAAAGATGATAAAAGTTTAAACTTAGAAGTTGGACGATTGGAAAAAAAAAATAAGGTTGTAATAGAACTGAGAAAAATTCTTTCGAAATAATCTATTGATGATTTACAAAATACACTAGAATTTAATTTAATAATTACTGGTCATAAGCTTATACCGGACCGAATGAGAACGAATTATTGACCACATAAGTTATAGTCGGACGAAAAGCCATTAGTTTTGTTGGTGGATGCAGAACTATCAAAATATCTATATAATAGGATATCGAACGAGATTGTATTAAATAATTGTTATGATATGCCCTCGCATTGATACATCAAAATAGCTAAAACAAAATAATACCCTACATATTTAATTTTTTCGGAGAAAGGGACGTACATTGGTTAGCGAGCTTTACTTGACATAATGGTTTCCAAAGTATTTTTATGTTGAAAAGAACTAGAAAACCTACCAGACGACCCACAAATTAGTGTTGTGTGTGAAATGGAGCTGCGGCGGTACATGAATGGTATAATCAGAATTTTGAAAATTCGGTGGATTCTGATCTCTACCCTTCCTTTATGCCATACACCATGTATAAGTGTTAAGGAATGTGAAACATTCTGGATTAATACCAATAAAATTTCTACCATCTCTCATTTTACGTAACATTTTACGAAGAGAGACCAGCCCGCCAATATTTCGCAATCATTTTCTAAAATAACTCTCAAAACGCTCAATAAGCCTTCATAATTAGTAATTGTTTATTACTAAAGGCAATAAAATGTTTAACTAGCTCAGTATACCAATAACTAACATGATAGGGGGATCCCTCCAATATTTCCCAAGTCCCGGTGCCTATGCTAATGCCCATCCCTCACCAACAAAACTCTGCTGGAATATTAAATTCTAATTTAATTATGAATCATTAGAAACAATTGCAGAACAAGTTAAAGAAATAAGAGTGTGTTGCAAAGTTGGTGCCAACCAATTACGAAATAAAAAAAAACATCCATTTTCAGTCATAAAAAACTTGCACCTCACGATGTAGACGGAAAAGAATGCCAAGCTTTATCAACAGGCACACTTTCAACAGACTTATTTTTTTATGTGAAGCTATGTCAGTTGACAGGAACAACATTCAATCTGTTTTGCTAAACGGACAGTGTGCAGGAATTCAGTAGAATACGGTTTAGATCATCTTCAGGCATGGATAAGATTCATGAAGCAGGCTTTCACATAGCTTATTCCTTGGTTTTTAAAAAATGAAGTCCAAAAAATACGACCGAGAAAAATATGAGAAATAATCTAAAAAATCGGGATCTAGTCAATGCTCAAAACAAAACATGGGATGATTGTGTCAAGCCACCAGAAAGGTCATCTAAGGATGGAAATATAGCGAGGACAAGTTTTCATAATTTGAAGTCAGTGGTAGAAAAATAATGGGCGTAGATAAACACCTATTTTCTGAGTTTTATATAATCCTGCATGTTCTGGCTGCTGAAGGAGAAATAGACTCTTCGAAGTGGTGGCATTTCACAACTGAAACCACTTATTCATATGTGGGTCTTTATGAATGGTTTTATATGCCTTCATCTCTGCATGAAGTATCTATTAAAGGACATAAATTATTTAAGTAATATTGTTATTCTAGAAATGATTCTAAGTTCTATTTTTTTTTTATAGTTTTTTTTTCTTTTGCCTAAAGGATTTTAAATAGGGAATATATGACTCAAAAACTTCTACAGTTTTATTATTGTATGTTATTTTGTATGGTACTTTTATTTAAATGTACCGTATACAATATACAATATATTAAATTTAGTTGACAACTAATGTTACAATTAAAAAGCATGAACTCGGAAGATGTTATTGCTTCATTGTTGTCTGTTTTATGTATAGTATGTTGAAGGTATGATTATAGTAATAAATCATAAATCTTCATAAGTAAAAAATATATATTCCATATAATATCATCTACTTGATTTCACATCTGAATTAAATTCCTAATTTCTTTTTCAATTACATAATCTATTTTATCTGTATTTTAGATTAAAATAAAAACGATCATGGCGAATATAAGTTTTTCTTGAGGAAAAAATGTGGATTATTGATTAAGAATTAAAACGGCTCACCTGCTGAAGGAATATATTTTTTTTGTTTGTTTTTCAAGAAAAGGGTATGATCAAATTCCAATAACAAAGTGGAAATATCACACTCAGATATTAATGGTTTCCATTTGTTTGCAGTATTTTGGTCTTTTCTGATGTTTAGATTGATTTATGAATAATTGTTTACAGATTTAATTGGGTTTATTTAATTTTTTTTCTTATGATTTCAAGTTTTAAATTATTCTTGGGAATTCTTGCTGAAGATGCAATTAAAAATGTTCATAAGAGATAGCAAATTTAGACATACGGTGAAGACCTGGTGATTGCTGCTAGAAGTGAAACCACACAAAGAGAAACATTTGAACGAAAAAAAACAATGTTACTAAAGTGATGAAAATTTACTAAAATTTCAACCCTAATGGAACTATGTAAGTTTAGTAGTTAGCGATGTAAATTTGTTCAAAAAGCAGTATTTTTCCAAAAAATAATTAATTTTGTAACTTTATTGATTAGTTATCAATATTGTGAAACAACTATTCCAATGAAAGTCATATAACATAATTTAAATAATTTTTTTTTTTTTTTTAGCATTAATAAGTGTAATAATTACTACCCAAATATTTTGGGTAAGGTTCCAATAACATAAAACTGAGATAGGACCTTACAGATAAAACCCAAACTATCGAAAATATCATAAAATAAATTTGTCTATTTAGTTTAAAAAATACTAACTCCAAATTCAACATTGTTCAGTTATGTGCTTTCAATAATTTTTCAACTGGAAATATTATTTAAAGTAAGAGTTTGATGAAAGCTATCACAATGATTTAAGCAAACTTTAGGCAGTTAGTAATTAACTAGCGATTAAAAGAAATATAAATGTAATTGTGAAATTCACAAATGACATCATTCTGATATATACTACACTAGATCACGTTTGTATTACAATAAATCGATTTATTTTTTCCAATCGTAATATTGTGAAACAGAGAAAATAAAATAAATCAAATCAATTCACATCTTCCGATCCAACCTGAGCTTTAAGTTTAAACTTGCAAAAATTCACATTTTTACCATCAAAACTTTTACCATGAAGCGCCTTAACAAAGCAGAATAAATTATCTGAAATAATTTCAACAGATTTTTCTTTACTGTTTTGTGCCTTTCCTTTTCATGGATTTCAAGGTTAAGATTATGGTTTGATTTGTTTTGGCAAAGAAAATTGAATTGCCAGCCAACGGTATTAAATTAGTACAAATGTATAAGAAATAGCAAAAACCAAATAGACATGTTAATTTTTGTTATGAAATAGTAATAGACTAGGAGCTCTATCTCCCATTTCATTTAAATGAAGGCCTTTCAGCCAACAACCATTTTAAATTATAAATAAACCTAGTCTGGACTCAACATCTGCCAGTTGGTTGAAAGTCATTGCGTTCCATACAAAACTTAAATTTAAGTAGCAAAATTTGATGTAATGGTCCAAACCTAATGGATCAATAAAAAAATGTTTGTATTCAAGTTCTTGTGGGATCCGGAAGTAATTATTGAGTACGAAATGTACCATACAAGCATTATTAAGCTTAGAAATTGGCAGAATTATACTAACAATAAAACAAAAATATTGCTTTGAAATTTACCTTGAATAAAAGAAATTTAGGTCAAAGACAATAAGTTTCGAAATTTGTTTGCAGAAATAAAGGTGATGACATACGCTTTATTGGAAAAATTAAATATTATGGAAACGTTTATCACTCAGGTCAGGGCTGATTACTAATATAGATTTTTTTCATTAATGTAAATTGAAAATAGTTTAGGTTGCAACTCACCCACTAGTCAGACGTCAGTTTCGATGCTCATGGTGTTATTGTGCTGCCTTGGGTTCGAGTTGTGCTTCTTCACAATATCCCTGGACAGGAGAAGACCCTCCTCAAGCTCCATGATGTCTGACGACGATTCTGACATTGAACTTTTCTTCATATGCTGACCTGTACAAGTCAGAACATTATTATTTTCTTATAATGATGTTATGACCCCAAAACCCGCGTCAGTTTGCTACTTAATGTACATTTAAAAACTATAGGCTCTACTAATAGGCAAACTACGCAATAAAACTTAAAACAATATGTCTCTAGTCTGTAATTAAAAACTATTATGAAGACTAAAGAAGCTAAAACTTGTAACTAAATCAAGATTATGTCATTTTGTTATCTGTATATATTGAAAAGAAAACAAAATATTTTACACAATAGTTTGATAATAATTTTACATTAACTCTCAAGGATATATATTTAGGTAGTATCTCAAATTTTTGTTACTATTTTCCATGTTTAATTTTTTTCTTCAATTCAATGATTTCCTTCCCAGGTTCCTCAAACAATATTTAATTTCTTAAGCTTGTTACCATGATATGGAATTTTATTTAAGTCATTAAGCTTTCTATTCTAATACTACTTCATTAAATTAATATCTACAAAACTATCTAAATGAAAAAAAAAAAAAAAAATCAAATCTACAAAAGAGATCTAATGTTGCTAATCTCAACTTACCGATCAGTGACCTCGTACTGTTATAATATATGTATTACAATATTTATATATAACAAAAGTATTGTGTGTATTTAGTTTGAAGCAATTTTAAATAAGCTTTCTGATTAGTAACTTGTTCATAACATAAAGCAAATATATAGAAAAATAGAATTTTTGTTGTACCTATCGCATTATTTTTTCTAGATAGTTTAAAATTATATTAATATAATCATTAAATTATGTTAATGAAAACATGTCACTTACCCTTTTGCGATGATTAAAAAACCTGTATTTAGGAGGTAAAATAATGATGAAATACATAATAGCATTATAATATTTTATAAGTTAGTTAATTTTTCCCCACTGATCTGTTGCTCTTTCCATCTACAAAATTTCTATTAAAGCTTACTGTAAGTACTCTATAAGTAATAGGCTTACATTACATCTATGCTATTAGTGTTCTATCTTTGTAACAACTAAATGTTAATCAAGTCTACGAACTATTATTAATATTTCCATTTTATATTTTAATAAAATAGTTTTAAAATATGAATTTTATCAGATATTAAGATTTAACTTAATTCTATATACTGATTATATCTAAGAAAACTAACATTATTTTTATTAATGATTTTTAAAATTTATGTTTATCATACTATTTTTATATTTATTAGTAAATTATTTTTTTTTATCTTTGTATTCTCAAATGTTTGTATTTTGTTTGATTAATACTTTTTTTTTTTTGACAAAACAAAATACAGAGTTTTAAGTGATTTAGCCATCACATCAATATTTGACAATCTATCCACCCTATTTTTCTTACCATTTCTTAAGTAAAATAGACTCATTTATTGCTTTAAGGATGGATGTATCATTTGTGGATTTCTTTAGTTATTACTTTTTAATTGAGATAATTGTTTCACTAATTACATTGAAACTTATTTGTCATTAAGTTTTAATTATGAATTATATAGTTTTTAAAGATTATTTTGTGTGCATTTTTGCTTAATTTTAGTGAATAGTATCCTATACAAATTAATTTTTAATCAAATATTTAAACTTTTATAAAAATTATTTTCTTATGATTGTACTTCATTTTATTAGAATGATATTTTTATTATTTTATTTTTGAGTGTTAAATTGTTTTTTGGAACTATTCTACTTGTAAGGTTATGTCGGTAGCTTTTGAGCTCATGTGGTCCTTTGACCGACCTCAATAGCCACCGTCTCCCCCTACTATCCCCTAAGCAATGATGAATGAGCTAGTATAAAAAATGCGGTGATTTTTGAACCCATCAGGCCTTTTGGCCGGCCTCAAGAACCACCGCGGTTCCCCCCAAGTCCATTGTCAAGCTTGATTACCTAGTGTATTGGGCAGATATGGGCAGCTTGTCACATGATTGAAGTTCTGTGACTGCATATCCTCTTGATCTGTCTCCCTGTGGTAGAAGTAGTTGAAGTTTGAGACAATGACGGGCACGGGGAGGGCGATGGTCAGAACTCCTGCTATGGCGCACAGTGATCCGACTATCTTTCCCCAGACCCCGACCGGCCTGGAAAGCCCCAGGACCAGGTTAGATAGGCGACAGTTAATAGGATAAGAACACAACACATGGAGGAGGTACCATGCCCAACTAACTGAAGGTCCGGGGCGGGGGTAATTGTTCTTCACCCAGCATACTTCAATAATTTGGCTGTTATTCACAGACACAGGTGCCTTAAAGAGATGTCTTCATCAATCTACTAAATAGGCATTTTAATTAACGATTCTTTATTAAAATAAAAAAAAAGTTGTGAAATGTGTTTAGTTTTAAAAACAATAAATTACAGTCGACCATACTCTGCAAGCTTCAGAAATCATTTACGTGACACTTGAATTCCTTAAAAATTATGTACTATGAGGTCTTTTTAATTTCATATATGCATATTTTAAATAATTCAATTATAAGAGAAGTGTAATGTGGTATTGCTTTCAACTTTAAGAGCTATCAAACTGTTAGAGGTTTTGGCTTCCTTTCAAAATAATTTTTTTTTTTAAATATTTAGAAGGCATTAAAATATTTGTTCATTTTTGGTAGATCATGTTGTATTATGAGATGTTGAACCATTATTTTTTTTTATTTTAATTTTTCAGTGATAAAAAATATATATTGTTACAGTTATTTTCTATTTATTAATGATAAATAACCAAATTTAAAATATTAAATTAATGAATTTTATTGTGGTCGTGCGCATTATTTTTTTAATACTTTAATAATAAAAAATGACCTATAGAGTAAGATGGATTTATTAGCAAATATTGAGTAGTAAACTGAATCATTATGTAACTACTAAAAAATAAATTATGTAAACAAATCTATATCCATACATAGTTTTCTGAATTTAGAAACTTAGTGAAGTTTGTCGTGTGGTAAGATTTGTTAAAGATTTTTAAATTTTTTCTTGATATAGTTTTTCATGAATCATAAGATGTGAGGAAAGATATCTTATCTGTTATTTAATAGTACTGACCTATTAAAAATGTTCCCAATAATGATTATTTAGCGAGGACCAGTCAGTCATAACAAAACAATATGTTTGTGATTTTTATTATGACAGCCGACATTTTGTCTTAATTAAGCAGGCCATCTTCCAAACTGGAGCATTGTGTGCAGACCTATGTGTCAATAACTTCTGAAGTGGAGCTGTTGTTTTGTTTTGTTGCAGTCTTTTATTTCTGCTGACTGATTGCTGACAAAATAATCATTATTTGTAACAATCAACAGCCAAGAACTTCTAAAAATAATTTTCAAGCATACAGCCTTCCGTAATTAATTTATTTATCACCGTGCCATTATCATCAAACCTATTGAAAACTAATAATAGCAAATTGCAGTGGAAGTGGGTGACTTTATATATATATCTACAGTAAAAATCTCAGTTGCAGACACCAATAGGGAATAAATTTTTTTTCACTATAGAGAGATGTCTGTTTCAGAAAACTAAAAGTAATAAATTATAAAAAAAATATTTCTAATAATAAAAGAGCTCCTTAAAACGCACGAGCTTGTGTTTCTGAACTTTTTGTAAGAACTATTTGGTTTCTTACTCTCACACCTCCCAAATTTGCAAAGATAGTGCAAACCAGCACAACTATTTCAGTCTTTCTTCAGAATGAAGATTTGTTCATTGATAATTGAGCTTCTTCCGCCTTCATTGGGGGTTGATTATCTTGTGGGTGGGTCATCTGTTTCTGAATTGTATTATTTGATGAAATAACCAACAGGATTAGATTGGCTAAATTACAAATATTAAGTTTTTAATAACGCAAGTTAACTTTTTTTACTATCAAATCAGTAGAACTAACTACAAAAGATTAAAACAGTAATCCCTATTTCAAAACCTATTTTCCAGTATAAATAATTTAGCTAAGCAGCTATAAATTGGAAAAATTTTCTCAAAATATGAGCCCCACCTGCTACCTACTGTCCGTTATTGAGAAATATTTCACTCAAAATTCTTGCATCAAGATTGTCCGCATCCATTATGGAGAGTGTCCATCATGATGAAGTCCTTCATACTATAAAATTATTGAAATCATATAGGAGTTATAAATTAGTCTGCTATACAGAAGTATACGCTATGAGAAGTTTTACTGTATACATATATAAAAAAAACTTTCATCCATTTGAAACCTCGTATCTCATGATCTTGAATTTTAATTATAAAAACTTTTTATTGATCAAATTTAAACTAATATATATTGGGAAAAATAATAAAAGTTAAATATATCTGTGAATATGTATAAAAGAAAAACACATGCCGTACTGTTTTACAAGGCAATAGAAATTCAGGAATGACTGAAAGAATATTTACAAAAGAAGGAAAATATTTCGCAGTGATGAAGAAATAGAAACATGGCCTAGCTTGAGATTTATGTTTAGTGGTCGTGAAGAAGTTTCCATTTCTCTTAAGTTTTTATTTTATTTTTGTGCCTACAAGTATTACTGCTTGTCAATATAGAGAAGGCAGGGATGTAAAAAATGTGAGGAACTGGTAAGACAGGTTTTCAACTAATAATTAGTGATGTAAATATTTCTTTTCCAAAAACATTAGGTCTCTTACTGACTTCCCAGTTACTTACTGGTACTCGTACTAGTGGGGGGACTTGTGCCAGCAAGTGGGCCTCTTGGCCCTTTTCCCCAGTTACTTTATAAAAAAGTAAAAGTATTACTCGCCCTGTTTCATTTTCTTCTATCTTAAGTGTTATATATGTACACACAGAGTGGGATATATTTATAAATATATTATATAAGGTTATTATTGGAAAAATTCCAAACCATACAGCCTTATGTCTTCAAAATGCAGGCAAAGAAAAGCCCATCAACGTTTCGCCAATTCACTGTAACTACATTTTGGCAAAACATCAATGGGTTTTCTTTTCCTGCAGTTTGGAAACATAAGGCTATATGGTTTGGAATTTTTCCGATAATAACCTAATATTTATGTTCTGTCTCTTGGTTATTTCGTAACTAATTTATAACAAAAAATATATAAATATATTTCATTTATATTTTGTTCCATATATTTCAGGGTTTTTGGATTATTTTTCATTATAACCTCACTCTAGGAATGCTCCTGCCTTTATTAAGTGATAATAGTTCTAGATATAATATTTTTCTTCATTAATTTTCCATGGAAATAGAAAAGATTTTCAAGTTATTAATTTCATTTCTTGTTTTGCTAAATCAATTACGAATAAATTCATTAGTTTTAAGATTTATAATAATTTTTTTTTTAATAATTCTTAATCTTATAGTAAAATAAAAAAAACAATGACAGTAAAATAATTTGTTGTTGTGTCTCATTTCCTACACACATAATAACATTAAATTTGTATGAATTTTTAATTGAAAAATGTTTTTGAAACAGCATTAACTCATTAGGGTACCATCAATTCATGTTGCCACCGGTGGCAGAATGAGATCCATCTCAGCATTCTATAAATTGCAAACATGTACATTTTTTATACTAAAAAGTTAAATTTATATAGTTTTTTTTTTTCTAGTTTTATCTAGATACATGTCATGTCTAAGACATGCAATGATGAAAAGTTGCAATTTTCCTGTTTACTGAAAATTCTGTTATAAATTGTTTGCTAAAGAACCCTTCAATTGGTTTCTATACAAAAGTTTTAACTGTGTAGTGAAAGGGCTGGTTAAATATTTAATAATTGTATAAAACTTTATGAATAACTAAACACATTCCCATTTCGTATTGTGAAGAAATTATTTTGATTTTTTCTGTGCATATCTTTATAGTTTTTATTTATATATATCTATATATATATTTTATCTTTATATATATTTTCACTATTTGTTGTATATGTGGTCATTTTTAATTAATGTGTTACTTTTTACTGAATAACTTATAATAATTATTTTTTGTCAGTTTATTGTATATTCTCAAACTATTATATATTGAATTTAAATGCATCTTAAACAAAGAAATTTTGGTATTCCAAATATTTGCTTGGTTCATGGAAATTAAATTTAATAGTTGCAAAGTTTTTTAAAAATTAAATTAAATTTATTAATTAAAAAAGTCATTAAAAAATCAATATTTTAGGGAGGGGAGGAATGCATCAACACTTTAGATGGATCGAAGTTCAATGAAGATCAAACTATGATTTTTTAAAATGCATATTATTAACGTATTATCTGCACATATTGAAAACATTTTTTCTGTATTCTAAAGAATCTTTTGAACTTTTTCAAATACAATTAGAGTGGTAATATTTGAGTGTTTAAACAGTTTGGTGTTTATTTTTTCTTTATCATGGAGGATTATTTTCATTGCTGATTTATACTAAGGGAAAGAATTTTATGAGCTCCTAATGAAATTTTTATTTCCACCCGATATATTAATAAGTGTATAAATTATTTCAACATCTCTTTAAGTGTACCTAAAATATTTTCTACTTTCTACCTTTAGCAATAAAAATTTCTGCATTCATTATGTAAAACATATATAATTATCGATTATTTAATACCTATCACTAAAACTAATTACCTATATTCTCTCTGTTACTCTAATAATTTATTCATGCAGAATTTTTTATTATTTTTAATAGATTTCAATTGAGAATTAATCTTTTCTCATTAAATCACTATTTTACTACTGAATTATATACAACAGGTTTACCTCACTTTCCAGTTTTTTGCTGTACAATTCTTTTTCTTTTATTAAATGAAGAATTTCTGCTTTACTTCATAAATTATAGAAATAAAAACAGACTGCTTTATACTTACCATTTCCATTTTTGTCAACAGCTATATTAATTATTTATGTTTAATATATACTGAAATAATTTATAATAAGCTTTAATTTATAGTTGAAAATGATACATAGATCTGCTAATATAGACATATTAATAAAAAAAGATGTAATAAAATTGATTAATTTGACGAATGCATAGAAATTTTTGGTGACCAGTTTATTACTTTAGAAACTTATATATGATTGAAAATTGAAGAAGTGTTTGATTAGGTGAAGAACATATTACCCAATATATTAAGATAATTGCTAATGCTACATTCCTTCAAACATGCCTTACATGCATCACAATCGATTCACAGGTAAGCTGTATTACAGGGCACACAATCATCAGCATTAATTTCTTAATTAGTAATTTTATGGTTACAGTTATTTATGAATTAATTAAAATTATAGCAATGAAGAATTTTGGACCAGAACATTCTGAGATTGTAAAATATGACATGAAAAGTATTAGTTTAGCTTATTTATTTTATTTTACATTTTAATGAAGGTTGTCCTAAGTTTTATCTGTTTAACTATTCTTGTTATTATTTTCGTTACAAAGGATGATAAAATAATTTTTGATAATAATATATTATTTTTATTTATTAGTTTATTATGTCTTTTATTGTTTAGGGTTACCTTGAGAATTCATTTATTTTTAAATACTGAATATTATTGAATTATAAAATAATTTTTAGACAGATATCCTTAATTTTACCATGATTTTAAATGTAAAAATTCTCCAAATAAAGTAATATTTAAATGAATTTTTAAGTTTTGACTTTGGTTATAAGTTTTCAATGTTCAGTTGATATTTTACTTTGTTCTTTTATAAATCATGTTTACATTTTTCTATTCTTTAAAAACGCTATTTCCAAATTATTAATTTTAAAAGAGTCATGGAAAGAACACTAAGAACCGAGATCATGAAGTATTTAAATTTAATATTTTTATCATATTTGATTTTAAACTAAACGTTCAGCAAAAGATTACGGAAACTGAACACTCTTTGGAAATATTGCCTAAGGATTTTAAGTTCATAGGTGATAAGATCTTTAATTTCTCTAACCTTGGCTATGCATATCTTCATTATTATTAGTCATATAAATATGACAAATAAATTTACAATTATAACATGCTAATAAACTCCAACAGTTCAAGCATCATTTTACATTTAAGCCCGGTATGCCTTTTTATAAATTCTTACATTTTTAAAATCTTTGTGTCATATTTATTTTATTCATATAAAATAAATATATGTCATATTTATTCATTATAATTAATAAATATATATTTTATAATTTCTTATAACAGTTTACTTATTTTATCACTAGTATTTTATAATGATTTGTGTTACTTTAATTCAAATATAATAAATTCCTTATCTTGTCTCCATATTTATGCTATGTGAAAAAATTAATTTTATATTTCATTGCTGCTTGGTTGTTTATTATTTGATTACATTTAATCATCCTTTTCCTTTGAAAAAAGTGAAATAAAAATATTATGATTTTGTTTAATGAAATTCTAATATGAGATTTAGATAAAATTATTGAAATTTATGTCTTATTAGATAACTTTTCATTTCTCAAATCATGAGGTAAAATGTTTTTTATTTCATATTTTCAATCTACAATTTTGTTTTATGAAATTTATATTTTTGCTAAGGATTGTATTCATACCAACAATTATGCAAAGCAGTGCTACAGTACATAGCAGCTACACAAAAACAAAATATTTAACATTCATAAGAAGCAAATAATAATAATAAAAATAAAATAAATAAAGATAAAATTAAAAGAAAATGAAAAAGTGGAAAAGAAACCAAAATAATGAGGGTTAATTATAAAACAAATGAAATAATAATAAATTAATAAAAGAAATAATATTGAAAAAAAAAAATTGAATCTGAATAGTTATGCATCATTAAGCTGATAGGATAAGCATTGGTTATGATTGCGGAAATCCGCAAATCTGATGTTGAGAAAATTCTTTGTTCTCTTTTAGATTTTCTCCTTAGTTTAATCATACTATATATCTCTGAGTGACAGATATATATACATATATTTTTATGTATAAATATATATAGTAATTAAATGATTTAGAACTAGTATATTGTGAGATAAAAAAAATGAAGACGAGCGGAAAGGACTCACTCAAGCAACACGTGACCGGCTTACAACACCGAGGAAATGACAGAAAGAGAGTGAAATAGAAATTATAAAAATAAAAAAATAAATGAAAATTAAAATAGAGACAGAAAAAGAAAGTGACACAAAGAGTAGAGAAAACACATAGGCGGAGAGGGATTGGGTTTACTTTTAGTATTTTTTAATTGAAATGAATGGGTTGGTAGGTCCGCCATTTACTGAGGTAATAGGTTTAAAAAAAATATAAAGGTATAGAGAACACATATTACAACATAAAGAGCTGGATTTGGGGAGGACACAATGCATTCTCCAAGCTGATTTTTCGGAATATGTAACACTAGGATAATACATTGGTTCATGCACAGCACATGTTTATACAGGTCTATGTGCCAACATTTACAGAAAAAAAAACAGCCCCGAAAAAACAGAATGACAGCTGAATTTTTACAACAAAAGTTCGAATGCATTGCTTTGTGGAGGACCGGTCGGAAATATTCCCTCAAATAATTATTATTTTAAACATAATGACTAAATAGTTAGTATAACGTTAAAACTGGGAGGCCCGAAACACGAAGCAACAAAGAATTTTCTTCAAGTTTCTTTGGTGTGGTTTCTAACCTGAAATGGGGTGAGGAAGCTAAGTGAAAACTACGCGAGTGAGATCCCTAAAACCATATGGGATAAACTGCAATCCAACACTATGGGAATAATAATTATAAATATATATATAAATATGTATAGTAAAAAAATAATAAATAAATTAAAATTCAAGACAATAAAAGAAAAAGAGATGCATATAACTTATATGGAAAAATAAATAAATTAATAAAATAAAAATTATGGTTTGGGTTAGTAAATAAAATTCTTGGGAAGTCTAAAGTGGAAAAGGTTAAGAATAAAAATAAAAAACTTAATAGGTAAAATTAAAGTTATGTTAGTAAAAATATGATTGAGTATTAAAGGGGAGGAAGGAAATGAAAGAAAATTTCGGTAAAAATCAAACGAAAAAGGGCAAACTAAATTCGTTAATGAAATAGAGTACATCATACGTCATGTCCCCATATCCCACTGTTGTCATGGTTACAACGGCCCACCAGAACGCGTCAGGGATAGACTTGAAGAAGGAATTTTCGGATCCGGCCTCCGCGAAGTAGACCGCACTCGAGAAGAGCACCACACCTGAAAGTAAGGAGAGAGGTGAAGAGAAAAAAACGGTTCGGGGAAGAAGTTGTTAGGGCCGGGTACCTCATGTCACCGTATCCAACAGTGGTCATCGTCACGACAGCCCACCAGAAGGCATCAGGGATCGACTTGAAGAAGGAGAGTTCAGAGCCCGCCTCAGCGAAGTACACAGCGCTCGAGAACAGGATCACACCTGAAACATGACACTCAGCACCTCCCATACTGGCTTTCACACACACATCAGCTTTCATTCACATATAAATAATCTATTACATATAGTTAATAGAGTCTATATAGTTAACATGTTTCCAACTAACAAGTTTATTACTTCTTATTCTTGCTCAGTATAAAAATTATATAATTACTCTCATTTTGTCTTTTTTAGACCATAAAGTGAAATGAATTTGTAGTTTAAAATAATCCAGGCAAATTACATTTTACAATAAATTATAATATAATCAAGTGAAGTGTTTACTAAATTTTGAATTCAAGAATACTTTTAAGTTTTTAACCAAATCTTTGCTTCAAAGATCATTGTTGTATTTCATGTAACATTTAATTCAGGGATTTTTCATAGAGACTAAGGAATTTGTAGGAATTATTGTTTTTGAGATAATATAGCCTTGTATTGCGCTTGTAGGAATGTTTAGGTAAGTTTAGTTTCAATCTTGTATGAAATTTTTAGTTCACAGTAGCACTAATATGCATATAAAGTTTCTCCAATATAGTCTATAGATATTTATTTAGAACACGGGATTTGGACAATAAACTTTTCTGGGTTAAAATTAAACCTAAATAGCACCAGAAACATTAAGGTCCTCATTCAATTTATTTAAGTTATAGAAAGACATGTTCAACAAACGTTTGAAGCTCTGAACTGAAGCCAAACTCACAGTTTCGATATTATCAGGAAAAAGAATATTTTGCAAACTTTTTATTAACTCATCCTTTACAACTGAAGTGAGGGTTATAAGTCCTTACCTTAATCATTCATTTTTAAACTTTGAATAAAAATTTTATTAACTCATCCTTTACAACTGAAGTGAGGGTTATAAGTCCTTACCTTAATCATTCATTTTTAAACTTTGAATAAAATATGAAAATAGTGACCAGCCATCCATAATAAGTTTAGCGATTGAAATATATTTAATTTATTATTCATTTCCTTAAGTTAAGTAAAGTGTGTATCACTCTATAAAATATATATATTTGTTTGGACTTAAATTGTTAAGTTGCTTAATTACTTTTAAAAAGTAGCCTTCTTTTATCAGTTTTGAGATTTCGGATACTCTTAGTGTGTTTTGGAAAATTTATGGTAAAAAGATACTTTTCATAAAACCTTCAATCAAAAATGATTAGTTACTACTTGCTATAAACAAATTATTATTAGGTATTGTATCAATTATTTGATTCTGTGAAATTAATGTTATTAGAAGTAAAAATAATAAATATTTATTTGAATACTCATTTTTTGATCTAGTTTTAAATGAATCCTTATGATAAGGAAATATTTTTAAAGACTTATAAATGAAAAATTCTATAATTTTGTGAAATTAAATTATCACTTGATATCTTTGGGGATGTGAAACTGTACCAATGAATGTGTATCATCCAAAGTAGTGAATGGCTAATACCTAGTGATGTCATAAGATTAATGTTATATGACCTTAGCCACTGATGGAGGGTTTAATAAATTTTAGGGCTTTAGAGCAAAAGTTCTTTTAGGAATCATACATTGTAAAACAATATCAACCATTTAAATCACTTATTCTCAGGCGAAACATTTAAAGATAGTGAATTAGAAATGAGGTGGAATAACATAAAATTTGATTTATGTGGCCTGACCAGTTTTGAGAAAGGAAAAAAAAAATTGTTTTTAAAGAAGTAATTTAACTAAACAATTAAATTACATGGAATAGTTAATTTAAGTTTATGTGATCTGCCTGGATGCCAAGAAAGTTTTAGGAATCTATTTAGAATCATCATTTTGATTTTGTTCTATTGCCTTGAAAAAATATATAACTACTCAAATAACAATAAAGTATAAAATTAGAGTATTGGCTATAATAAATTTTCTAAATTTAATTTTACATTTAATGTTATTATAAGGACTTTTTTAATGACTTTCCCAAAATAGAATACTGTTCCTTAAAAAAAGGAATGGTAACATTAAAATCTAAAGATAGTTAATTAATGTTTGTTTAAAAGTGACATAAAATATCCAAGATGGAAATTTTTAGCTAAAAATCCTATCATTTCAATTAACACCTAATAATCCTAAAGTTAAACATATTGGTATTTATTCTAAATAGTTACAATTTTAAAGTATTACAATACTGTTTGGACGAGTTGAGTACAAAGTCTGTATTCTAGAAGCTATTCATATGAAATTCTCTATAGACTTGTTTTTAAATTTGTTGTATAAATTTTGATCAAGTTATATAATAGCTTTAAAGAGGTCTTATGATTTAAAAGAATATAAAGATTTTTTTTTTTTTTAATGATAGTGAAAATATATATATTCAATGATACTCAACATGAACAAATTTATGAGAATCAACATGAAGTACAATTATGCATTTATCACTTTAATATAATCTACCATGGCTATTTTAGGTTTCTTTTCTGATAACCTTAAACTTATAGGCAAAGCGAATGTTGGATTGTAGGGTTTCAAGGAATTAATCTATTAAACCATTTAAGAAAGAGTTTACACTCATCTACTATTTTCCCCACAGAAATGATTTAAGTTAATATATAAGAGCAATTTTAAAAGATGTGACAGTTGGCTTAAATTTTTTAAAATATCTATTAAAAATATATCAATACTAATTAGTACAACCTCAATTAAACTTAACCTGCTTTAGCTAAATGAATGCTTTTAAAATTAAAATTAAACTTAATATGAATATTAAATGATCCATGAGGTTTTAAAATTTTTCAGTAATGAGTTTTCTACTAGATTTTTTCTTATATATTAACTGCAAAAATTGTGAAGTCACCACAATACTATAACGTCAATAGATCATTAATGATATAATTAAATTAAAATTAAAATCCTTTAATGTTGCAAAAGATGTCATTTTGTTATTATTTAATTTAATATTTCTATTATTTATCATTAGCTTGCAATTTTCCTAAAATAATCCAAACAAATGAAGATTATCAATATTGTTTATTTTCAGATATCAACAAAAATCCTTGTCAGATAAATAACAATTGACTATTATTTTATGAATGAAAATTAAAGCTTAGTATTAAACGGTAACGTCATAATTTGAACAACTAAATTTACTGTAGGGAATACATAATACATTTAGCAGAAGTCAATTACATACATTGTCAACAATTTTGATTGTATACATTTAAACATTATCTACTCTAAAGACATTTTTAATCATTTTGTGTAAATAACCATTTCTCCTCTCATCTGTCAAAAAGTACCTTAAAATGTATTTTATTAATATATTTGGATATGTTACCTACAACACAAATAATTTTGATTTTTACCCTATCAAATGATGATATTCAGTACTTTAATAAATAACAGCGTAGAGACAAAGATTTTTAGCCTGTAAAGATTATCTTTAAGTTGATTTATTTCATATTTAGTTGATTTAGAAGCATATTTATTTCAAACTATTTTTTTTATTTGAGTAATGTTTTTTTTTATAGACAGAGTCAAAAGTATTTTACAACAGTTACAATATTGCTATAATTAGCCGGGAAAACTAAAATAAAATCTTAATGGTGCTCAATATTGTTGAGCTTCTAACTGCCACAGCATACTAATCCATCTGTTTGACAATATCTAGTAAAATAATTCAGAAATTTATTATTATTATTTAGGGAAATTCCTTGTTTCACAGCATTTTCTGGTTAAAGCATATTACCCCGGCTTAAGTCAAGGGTAAGGGTAGTGATGTTATTCTGTTGTGTTCATAAATTTTCTAACAATACTTGCAGTTCTGAGTAACACTGTTTTCTGCATTAGCTTCAAACAATTCATTGAAAGGCCCAATTCCTTCATGGAGTTTAACCATTGTCTCCGGAATCAAACCATTTGCAGAGATGACCAACAGCAAATCTTCACTTTATCAAGTTTGTGTAATTGTTTGAGCTCTTCACCAAGGTTTTAATATTTGCGATTTTTTTTTTGCAACCACCTTGTGAAGATTATCGTCCGATGGCACCTTCATTATTATTATTATTATTATTGCTATTATTATCAATGGTGTAATAAAAAAAAATCATCTTAACACATAATGTTGTATAATTAAATTATTCAAAATAATTAATCAACAACACTTCAAAGGCATCATTACACTTTATTATTATAGTTATAAATTATTCTATTACTATTTAACTTTGAATTATACTTTTATCAATATTTAGTGAGATCGGAACACCTATATCTGTGTAGGTCTGCATTTTCTCAATGCAGTGTATAGACCTAAAATGGGAGGTTAATCATGAAAAATGGATGAGGCTGAAAAGAGAATCATAGTGCCCTCCACAATTAATGCTGATCAATTGGATAAATAGTGGAAAAACAAAACAGATTCTCAGTAAAAGACATAGTTGATTGATACAGAATGCAAAAGATATTCTTCAGTTTAGAAAAGGACTCCCTAGAAACATTACTTCCACACCCAAATGGCGTATTGTAAGAAATGAAAAAAAAGAAGAAATATACATATATACATATATCCAAGGATTAGTCCTTAATTAGTGGGAAAAACATTTTGTCCAGCAAATGCGAAATTGAAATGTTTGATAAACTTGGAAGTACAAAAGTGTGGAGGAAAAATGGTGCAATGGATATGGGAAATGAAGTCCTCCTGGAATTTAAATGAAGAAAATTGCTGCAATGAAATGAGAAATAAAGTCTCTCCTGGTCTGTAAATTCATAAATGCTATTGGAGTTGATTGGAAACTTGACTTTATAGATGGTATAATGGTTCAGATTAAATATGTTAACATTTTAAATAGAAATCTCCTAATCAGTGATGATAAATTTTGGGAAATGAAAGATTATATGTTTCAGCCAGATAATGATCCTAAACACACAAAAACTAAGAGTGGGATCCTCTACAGTGTATCGAAATGGATGATGGTACTGACTCCATCTCATTCTTCAGACAAGAATCTTAGGGAGCAACTGTACAAATATCTTAAGTTTATAATTTAAAAAGAACCATTACTGAGTAGTGGAACAAAA